CTTCCTCCTCCCTCCTCCCTTCACACCCTCCTCCCCTCCCTCCTCCCCTCCCTCCTCCCTTCACTCCCTCCTCCCCTCCCTCCTCCACTCCCTCCTCCCTTCACTCCCTCCTCCCCTCCCTCCTCCCTTCACTCCCTCCTCCCTCCTCCCTTCACACCCTCCTCCTCCCTCCACTTCTTCCCCAGTCCTTCCCTTCACACCTTTCCCCTCCCTCCTCCCTCCCTTTCCTCTCCCTCCCACCCTCCTCCCCTCCCTCCTCCCCTTCCGACTCTCTTCCGCCTTAGTACCCCCACTTCCTCTCTTCTTTCACATCTTCCTGCCCTTCCCACCCCTCCCCTCCCTTCTCCCTCCTTCCCATCACCTCCTCCTCCCCCTCCCTCCTTTCACCTTCCTCCCATCCCTCTTCTCCACTCACATCCTTCTCCTTCCCACTCCCCCCCTCCCTCCCTCCCCTTCCCCTTCCTCTCTCCCTCATCCCTCCTTCAGGTCCAGGGCCTCAACACAGGCCTGTCCTCCAGTGTCCAGACACCACCAGCGTCCAGAACTTCCCAAGATGAAGAAAACGTTCCCGCCCCCCCACCTGTCACTGTCCCAAGCTGGAGCCTCTGGCTCTCCATGGTGACTGAGGCCCTGGACTTCGGATCTCCAGTTTTTGTTGCTGTTGTTTTGAGATGGAGCCTCCCTCTGTCGCCCAGGCTGGAGTGCAGGGGCGCGATCTCGGCTCACGGCAATCTCCGCCTCCTGGGTTGAAGCCATTCCCCTGCCTCCGCCTCCAGAGTAGCTGGGACTACAGGCGCCTGCCACCGCACCCGGCTAATCTTTGTATTTTTTTTTTTTTTAAGTAGAGACGGGGTTTCACCATCTTGGCCACGCTGGTCTTGAACTCCTGAACTCGTGATCCACCTGTCTTGGCCTCCCAAAGTGCTGGGATTACAGGCGAGAGCCACCGGGCCTGTCCTGGACCTCCAGTTTTATGTGACTTAAGTAATGTCAATAGCCACGTGTGGCTTCGTGTCCCACAGCAAAGCACTGGGTGCTTCTCAGAGGCTGGCTGGCCTGGGAGGGGAGATCAGTGGCCTCCATGTGGGGGCAGTGAGGGCTCAGGTCCCCCACACAGGAGATGGGGACCTGAGGGTGAGATCCCTGGAGGTGGGGGATCAAGGGTATGGGGGTCTCAGCGACCCTGGCAGGGGCACAGTGCCCTCCCTTGCCTGCCAACCCCAAGTGACTGTGATTTGGTGCATGGGGCCACATCCCTCGGACACCCTGGCACCAGGAGCCCCATCTTCCTCTCCCCAGCGGATGTCAGGCCCCGCATGGAACCCGACACGTCCAGCCCTCCAGGCCACTCCCCCAGCACCCACCCGTCCCCATTTCACAGACGGAGGCTGGGTACTGAGTCCTCCCCTCTCCAGCCTGGGCCGGACCCGCTGCTGAAGCAGAGACCCCAACCCAGACACCCAGCCAGGGGCCCGGGACGCTGCTTGTCCAGTGGGTTCAGCGAGGGGCAGGGGTGGGGCTGTGGGCCTGAGACACCCCCCTCCCCAGGCATGGGGTCAGGATCCGAGCAGGTCACACCTGTGTGTGTGGCTGCGTGCATCCTGCATGTTGACTGACTATGGTGTGCCTGTGCGTCTGCCTGGGGGAGGCGGAGAACGGCGCCGCCCGCGCCCCCCAGCTCCCAGGCACCCGCACACACACGCAGTCCCACCGGGGCACAGGCTGGGCGCCGGCCGGGACCTGGGGTCTTTCATCTCTGGCTGACAGGCCCCTCTCCGGCTCTTAGCCCGGCAGAGCCCCCGCTAACAGTGCATTAGCCCTGGGGGGCTGCCAATTACTCCGCTCCAACGCGGGGCGGGGCGCGGCGTGGCTGATGGGCCCTGACAGGCAGAGGGGACCGGGCGGCAGAGCCCCTCTCCCCGCCGGAGGGGGCGGCGGCGGCTGGGCTGGGGGCTGCGGCGTGTTCCGACTCCGGATGGCTCCGGATGGCAGAACGCAGGTCTCTCCTGACCTCATTAGAGTAATTAATGCGCCTTTTGAAGCTGGAGAAGCGCTGAGCTGTGGGACGGGGTGGGGGTGCGGGGCGCAGATCACAGGGTGGGGGCCCGGGCCGGCGTCCCCGCGCCTGTTGAAAGCTCATCCCAAAGGGTCAAACGTGGAGACAGAGACAGAGACAAAGTGAAGGAGGCAGATGGAGAGACGCAAACGGGGGAGTTTGGAGACAGACACAATGGCCGGGCAGACGGGGGACCCACACACGGCCAGGCCGAGCCACGCTGCCCTCCCCACCTGCAGTCTCTGGGGCCTCCCTTGGGCTCGGACCTCCGTTTGGGGGTTGCTTCCCCAACCTCCCCTGCAGGATTCCCCCAAAGAACAGGCTGAGCAACAAAACCAAACAAAAAAGAACTATTTCAAGACCAAGTACGAATCTCTAGAAAAATACAAAAAAGTTAGCTGGGCGTGGTGGCGTGCGCCTGTAGTCCCACCTACTCGGGAGGCTGAGGCAGGAGAATTGCTTGAACCTGGGAGGCAGAGGTTGTAGTGAGCCGAAATCGCGCCACTGCGCTCCGGCCTGGCGCCTGGTGACGGAGTGAGACTCTGTCCCCCCCACCCCAAAAAAAAAGAAAAGAAAAAAGAACAGGCTGGGGTGGGCAATCAAGGAGGACTTCCTGGAGGCGGCAGCTGAGGCTGGGCAGAGGAGGGCCCAGAGCACTGGAGGGGGAAGGAGACACGTAAGCAGGGTCTTGGCAAAGCCTAGTCAGATGGCGATGCCCGAGACAGCAGATGGTATGAGAACGAGGGACCCCAGCCTGAGGGGGTGACAGCCTGGCCCCCAAGACAGCCCCTCCCAACCTTGGCGGCAGACAGGGTCAGCTGGCGGGGCTGTGAGACGCCCAACCCTGGTGGATGTGGGGACGCGGTGGGCTCAGAAGTGGGGTGAGCATTGGGCCGTCCATGAAGGGTTAGGCCCGGGAAGGCCGCAAGCGGACTGGGCGGCACAAGGCTGCCACCTGGTGGCGACTCCCCCTCATGACAGGGCAGTGGTGGCTCCAGCCAGATTGCCCCCGGGGGAGACCTCGGGCTGTGGGTACCCACACGCCTTGGTCCAAGGCTAACCTCACGGGCGACGGGGTGACAGGCCAGAGGTGGACTCCACCCAGACACGGCCCCCTGCAGGAACAAGACACCAGGGAAGCCGACTGAGCACCAAGCCGGGGGTGGGGTCTCAGGCTGGGGGGTCCGTAGGAGACTGACGGGGGAGGGGCAGCTGGCGGGAGGGCTAAGGCCGCAGGGAGCCCCAGCCTCCCACAGCACAGCTTGGGGGCTCCCCGGAATCACTGCCAGAGGTATTTGTGAGGTGATGTGGGGTTCCTCCAGAAGGGGGGCCCATGAGACCCAGACTGAAGATGGCATAGAGGAGGGCCCTGGAGCAGGGGCTTTGACAGATGACTAGGAGTTCTCTCTAGGGGTACAGACAGGGCCTCACCCCAGGCAGCTGGAGACGGGTCCCCCTTCTGTCTACCACATGGGTTCCTCAGGTGGAGGCAAGGCTGGGGAACCCAAGCATGGCTGCAGAGGGGAACTGAGTCTGGCTGGAGTTCCCCCCCCCAACAACTGGCTGCCCCGGTGTGCACAGGTCTGGGTGGCGTGAGGTCAGCACCAGCGGCAGACATGGCTGTTTATTGTTCCAGCCCGGCAGGAAAGTGTTCCAACACAGGTCCCTTGGGTCACCTGCCCACCCAGCCTTGGCTCAGGGCTGCCATGTCCCCGAGGAGGCAGGGGAGAGGCACAAGTCACAGTCAGGCAAGGTGGCCTCAGAGTCCTGGGCAGTGGTTCTCGGGGCCCCTCCGGTCTTCACCGGGACCCTCAGCCAGGCTGGGGTGGCATCCGGGAGGCGAGGCTGTGCTGTCTGGCGGCGGGTGTGGGCAGCAGCAGGAGGGCGGGCTGCACAGGGTCCAAAAGGACTCTCAAGCTGGCACTGGGTGAGGCTGGCACTGGGTGAGGCTGGCACTGGGTGAGGCCAGCCTGGAGGTCCGCAGAATAAGCAGTGGGGCGGGGGTTGCTGGACACTGGGTGGGCCCTGTCTCCTGTCCTTCCCTCATGGAAAGGTCGCCTCCCTGGCTCAGCATCTGGAATCAGGGGGTGCAAGGGTGAGAGGTGAGGAGTGAAGGACCCGCCTGTCGTCGGGCAGAGGCTCACACAGGTCAGACAGCAGTGGGCAGCCTGTCCAGGACCCTCCCCTGGCCTCCTGGGCCCTGCTTAGCTGCCCACCTCGGGGAAGGGGCCCCCAGCCAGGAGGTGGAAGAAACCTGGGAGGGGTTCCCAGGATGGAGTCAGACCTTGGGGAGGGATTACCACGTCTCCCTCCCTGGGGGCTCGGAAAGTCAGAGGCCACCCTGTCCCTTGGTCTCCCAGCCTCCAGGGCCGCCACACGCCAGCAGGCCACGGTCGCCACAGAAACCACACTGCGGCACAAAAGGCCCATCACTCCCTGCCTAGGACCCCGCCAACACCCGACCCCTGCCTCTACACCCACACCTACCCCAGTCCCACCCAACACCTGTGAGGCCTCAGCCTCTGTCCCTCCTGTTCCCTCAGCCCCATTACACGACAGGGAGAGGCCCTCCCACCCTGCCCGCTCAGAAGCAGCCTGCGGTCAATTCTGCACCTGACTTGGACCCCGTCCATCAGGGAGGGGCCAAGAGCGAGCACCCACTACCCTCAGCCCTGCAGCTGCTTTCCCATCTTAAAGAAGCAAGAAATGAGGCCGGGCGCGGTGGTTCATGCCTGTAGTCGCAGAATTTTGGGAGGCCGAGAAGAGAGGCTCACTTAAGTCCAAGATTTAGAGACCAACCTGGACAACAGAGCAAGATCCTATCTCTAATTAAAGAAAAAAAACACTAGGCGGCTGGGTGCAGTGGCTCATACCTGTAATCCCAGCACTTTGGGAGGCTGAGACAGGTGGATCACCTGAGGTCAGGAGCTCGAGACCAGCCTGGCCAACATAGTGAAAACCTGTCTCTACTAAAAATACAAATATCAGCTGGGTGTGGTGACAGGTGCCTGTAATCCCAGCTACTTGGGAGGCTGAGGCAGGAGAATCTCTTGAAACCTGTGAGGCAGAGGCTACAGTGAATCGGGATCTAGCCACTGCACTCCAGCCTGGGAGACAGAGCAAGACTCCATCTCAAAGATAAATAAATAAACAAAAATTTAAACTAAAAAAAAAAAAAAAAAAGGGGGTGAATGGAGACTGGGAGAACCGATGAGCCCTGCCCAGGGGGGGGCCATGGCCTGACTACCAATCGGTCAGCTGTGATCGCGGGAACCACCCCATCACTTGGCGGAGTCCCCGGATCCTCCTGAGTCTCCAGCCCAGCCGGCCCACCAAGGTCCCAGAGCTGGGGAAGGGTTGCACACCATCTCAGATTCCGAGACTCAAAGACCGTCTCCTCATCGCTGTCCAGCGAGGCCGTCTCGGTGGGGTCCTCGGTGTTGGCCAGGAGGCCGTATCGCCTCCGCTGAGGCTTCTTCAACCTGCAAGTAGGTCCAGACACACTCAGTGGGCCCTCCCTGCCAACCTTGCCGTCTCCTTCCCTCAGGACCCGCATTGGCGTCCTCTGCCGAACTCCTCCAGCCCTGCTGCAGAACCCCCTGGTCTTGCTGTGCCTGTTTCTTTCATGTCCTAATCGCCAAATGATTACCACTCACTCCCATGGCAGTGACAGTGAGCAGACACGTCCCCAGCAGGCCCTGCCCTCTCTCCTGTGCCAGGGCCCCAAGAGAGGCACCAGGACATCACTCCTGTTGCACTGATGAAAACAGTGTGGCTCACACAGTGGGGAGACTTTGCCAAAGACAACAAAATGGAAAGTTGTCTCAGCCCCAAGTCCCTGGCGGCCAAAGCAGCCGGGGAGGCAGGGAAGGCCCGGGACATAGGCAGGGGAGAGCAGGCGGCAGATGCTTCCACTGAAAGGGGTGTGGAGCACCGGGGAGGCTCTACACAGGGCCCCTAAAATGCAGCACGGCCAGGCGCAGTGGCTCACATGTATAACGTCAACACTTTGGGAGGCCGAGAAAGGAGGATCGCTTGAGCCCAGGAGTTCGAGACCAGCCTGGACAACATGGCGAGACACCATCGCTACAAAAAAAGTCATAAAAAATAAAATGACTATACTATGCCACGGTGGTGATGGGCAAGAGGGGTAAGGTCATCGATGTGTGCTAAAGGCCCAGGAGAAGCAGCCACAATGGGTAGTCAGGAGCCGGGAAGAGATTGGGGCCATAGGCCAGGGAAGCCGGGGTAGGCCTGAATAGGCAATAGGCCAGGGGCTGCCTGTAGCTGGTGGCCCCTGCGAGGGTCTGGGGACGCAGCCGCACCTCCCCGGCTGTGGGAGCACCCAAAGCGAGAACACGGCCGACCCTGGCGACGGCTCAGCTCCAGTGGGTAGAAGTACAAAAAAAAAGAATCTTGATACCCGGAAGGGCCCCGGCCGCAGGTGGGAAAAGGAGAGCAAGGATGGGCAGCCGGCGACAAGGAACCAAAAAGGATCCCTCGCCCTGCCAGGGCCTGACCCTTGCCCGGCACGCTCTGGCATTGGTGGCTCCATCTGGAAAACCCACGAATTAAGAGACTGCGGCGCTTGGCAACCAGGAGCCCAGCCACAGGTTAGCGAGAGAGCGAGTCACGTGGACTCCACGCCATCCACACCCACTCCAGCAGGGAGGGAGGGGCCCGCCCCGCACGTGACACAAGAGGCACGCGCTGATTGGCCGCCACTGGGCGACCGCTCTGCGTGCGCCTGACGCACCTGAACTCCCGGATGAGGAAGTAGAGCACGGCAAGGCCGCAGAAGCCCATGATCACGTAGAGGGAGCGCAGCAGCGCCGAGCCCGACGTTCCCGGCGGACGCGCGTGCGTGCTGTTGTGCGGACCGCCGGGCTGGCTCCCGTTCGTCACGGCCGGTGGCGGCGACAGTGTGGCCTCTGCGGGCCGCGGCGGCGAGGCCTCCTCGGCACCGCACGGCACTGCCGCCAGCAGCAGCACCGGCAGAAGCAGCAGCAGAGGCGGCGGCAACACGCTCGGCCCCATGGCCCGGTGGAAGCGGTGGCGGTGCCCCGCCCCTACGCGCGGCTGTCAGTCAGGCACGCGGGGACGATGCCGGCCAATGGGGCGCAGGGGCGGAGCTCGACGCCCGGCCCCGCCCCCTGCCCGCCTCGGCCGGGTGCGCCGGAGCGCTACCCAGAGTGCCCCGCACGCCTGCCGCTGAGCCTCATTTTCGCGGACCCCGCCCGTGGGAGCCCCGGCAAGGCACGGCGGGCAGAACCCACGAGCGCCAGCCCGGCGCGGGGCGCGGCCTCCGAGGAAAGAGGGTTGGCTGGGCGGGCGCCGGTCTCAGGAACTCGGGCCGCTCGTCCCCGCCCCTCCTCCCGGCCTCGCACTCAGGCCGCTCGGCGGTGTTCAGGGCCCAGGAAGGAGGCGCCCGCTTCCGCAGCCTGCTGCAGGTGCCCCGGGGCTCCGCCCGAGACGGGGTTCGACAGCAGCTGCGCGGCCGCCGCGCCCCAAAGGCCGAGTGCGCCTCAGAACCCCCACCGCCCGGCCGTCGTCTCCACGCTGCGAACCCCCCCTGTGGCCAGCCCCGCGCGGTCTTCCCTGCCGGGTACGGCTCGTGGCTCGTCCGCTGAACCCCAGGCTTTTCTCCCCGCGGTCCCGCTCCGACCCCCGACAGCCCTCCCTAAACCACAGACTCGTCTTTCTGGGTGCACACGTGGCCCTTTATTCAAATCCGATTTTCACAGGGCTCCACCGTTGTGGGCAAGGTCTGGCCGCCCCGAACGCCGCCAGCGCACCGCAGCCGGTCCTCCAGGAGCGATTCGAGGCCCTGGGCCTGCACCTTTCTGGCTAAGCGCCTCCTGGAACGGGGAGGGAGGGAGAACGGGTGCACGCTCCAGCCGGCGTACCAGGCGCTCTAGGGAGGCGCTGCCCTGCACCCAGGTGCGGGACAGCAGGACTCACTCGAACGACCAGGTGCCGCCCGGGACAGGGCTCAGCCCACAACCCACTGTTCCCGAAAGCACTTACAAGGGACAAACCTCCGGGACAAGCGGCTGCCTCCAGCTCTTGTTCCAAGTGAAGTCCCTCCTGGGACAGTGACCCCAGAGGTCATCGCTGATCTCAGGCCACCCTTCCCCGAGTCCTGGCCGGGCCCCTTCAACCTGCCAAAGCAAAGCAGCGTTACTCCCGACGTCCTCCACGGGGCTCACAGCTGCCCCTCCCAGCCTCCCCGGAAACATCCACAGCTCCTAGGAAGGTCTCAGACTAGTCATGGGGCTGTGACCTCAGGCTCCGTCACGGGCCAGCGTGCCCAGGGCAGGCCTGCACCTTGGGGACGCAGCCAGAGCCAGCTGCCTGCATGGGATGGAGCTGCGTGGGCCAGTGCGGGCTCTGGAAAAAACGAATGGCGGCAACAGACATCAGAGAAAGCTACAGTTAAGAGCGTGACTTAAGAGGTCTGGAAAGAACGGTCAATTGATGAGCAAAAAATCCAAAAGGCGGGGGGCGTTCACTGGTCTCCAATCCTGCTTAAGGGACCTCATCTGAGCCAGGCATGACTGGGCCCAGGCTGTGCTGGCTGCACGCGGGGAGTGTAATGGCCAGGCCTGACTTTAGTTCCACCTTAATTTTTTAAAAAAAGGAAAAACAAAAACCAGTCACAGGAACATTCCCCGGGCACATGACTTTCAATGAGCTCTTGACAAGAGGGATGTGGACACGAGCGGAAGGAGTTACCTCGAATTACAGGGCTATTTCCACATATGAGCTAGCCAAGGGAGCAGCTTGCGTCTCAGAGGGTTCTGTTGGGCGCACAACACTTCTGTCCTCCGAGGGCTGCAGCTTCCATAGGCTAGCAGAGAACGCTCAGAACTCGTGAAGCAACAGCAGAACTAGCTAGGTCGCCCTGGGATGCCACGTGCCTCCGCTCTCTGGCCTGCTTCTAGACTGAGGCAGTCCAGGCCAGCGTCGGGCGCACGTCCACTGTCCCTGCTAAGCTGCCCGCAGAGTCCAGCCCTCTGGCCACCACTGCCAGAAGCCTCCCGGGGCTGCCCTTTGGCCTTGAGCTACCCGCTCCCATCCCCCGCCTGGCTCCCCTACCCTGACCAGTGCCAGTCTGCTGTGCCTCCCTCATCTAGCTCTCTGCAGGCCCCACAGAGTGCCTGCAGCCCCGCTGCTCCTCCGCCTTCTCCTCTCTCTCTGCTCAGGTCTGGCTGCAGAAGCCTGCAGCAGGGAGTGTGTTGTGCAATGCAAGGGAATTGTCAGAGCAAAGTTCATTTCACACGGTCTTTTAATCGGCTTCGTAAAGCCAAAGAAAACTGTGTACAAGAATTCCTCAGCCACTGCAAATACAACATCGATGGAGTATGTGTACGTCTTCCAGTAAAAAAGGACAATATAAATAAACATCTTCAAGAACCTCTCAGACACGTTTGCACGTCTATCATGGGGTGCACAGCACAGATGAGCGCACGGGCCGGGGCTCCAGGGCAGCTGCTGCCAGGCCTGCCAGGGTCCTACCACGCTACACTCAGAGATGTCACACGGAGTTGGAAAAAAGCCACAGCTTGCTCAGCTTCCGACAAAGATCGGATTCACAGTCCGTTCGATCTCAGAGAGGAGTGAATCGGGGCACCCACTTCATGGGGCCAACCCCAGTAAAAAAGAAAAAAAGGCAACGCCACCAAAAAACCAAAAACCAAAAAACCAAAACCCCACACAACCCCCGACGACTTTTTTTGGAACTCATGGCTCGTGGTCAAAAGAAAAGAGTAAATCGCAAGTGCTCTTCAAAATGTTTTGAAAACCCTTAAAAACAAACAGCACTTCCTTAAAAAAAAAAGTCTCTAACGAGGCCATCCTGGGGTCAGAAGCGGTCGGGCTGGGTTTGACAAGATCAGAACCGAAATGACTACAAAAGTGGGAATACAGGAGGTGCGTTTACTACACGTTAACGTTCAGCGAAGCTCCCACAATCTTTAAATACACAGCCATTGGAAGGACGGTCTTGAGCAGGAAAGGTTTTTACTCGTTGTGTGTAGCTGAGGACAAGAAGCAGGCACAGTGTAAAGGCACTCAAGCAACGAGAGGCAGCGTCACCCCAGAGGCCAGACCGGGCACGGCCTGCGGCTGGGGAGCAACCACCCCCCACGGCCGAGGGAGGCCGGCAGCCGCACATGCACCTGCGCTGGCTGCCCGGTGGGCCCTCGCTCTCCCTTGCCTTTGGTCAGTCTCAATTGCTCTTGTGTCCTGCAGTAGAAATGGCTCTGAGAGGACAGATGTGTCCCTTATGGGCAAGTGCAGTGACAAGGTCTGAGTGTCCAGCCTAAGTCGCTTGGAGAGGGCGCCAAAGTGAACCGAGCTCCCACCGCAGGCCACAGCAGCGTGGCGCCCTCAGAGTGTGACTTACCATAACTGTCGTAGCTGTCTCTGTAGGACCCGCCCGAGCTCCGGTCACCATAGCCACTACTCTGACTCCGGCTGAAGGACACACACAAATGAGTGCTGGAGAGTACGTCTACTTCTACTCTGCCACAACAGGCTGGGCCGCCAGCCCCCAGGCCAGCCGTCCCTTCTGGGGACACGGCAAGAATCCTAGCAGGGCAGTCTTGGAAATCCAAAACCCCCACCAGCTGTGCCCCGCAGGCCCTCCAACTTCTGTGACGGTTCTAAACAGTCCCCTCTCCTCCCGGCCTGGGCCCCCTCCCACTTTCGCTCCTTGCCCAACCAGCCTTCTCTCAGGCCTCCCAGGGACCTAGGCCTGAAGCTGGCTACCCCACAGCCACCCCTATGCCCAGGCTGACTCCCCCCTCACCCCGCCCCGCAGCCGCCCGCGCCC